AGGCCTACCTATACTCCAAGTTCTTGCTCAACAGTCAGATACGGAAGAAGACGACAGATTTGGTGAAGTTTCTGAGTTTCAAGTATACAAGAAATGAGCCTGTCACAGAAGCAGACATTTTGAAGAACGTTGTCCAAGAGTACAAAGACTACTATTCGTTGATCTTCAAGCATGCCTGTGAATGCATGGAAGTGGTTTTTGGCATTGAAATAAAGGAAGTGGATGCTTTCAACCACTCCTATGAGCTCCTTAAAATACTTGACCTCACCTACGATGGGCGGCTGAGCGAAGACGAGGGCATACCCAGGACAGGCCTCCTGGCGCTTATCCTTGGTGTGATCTTCATGGAGGGCAACCGTGCCCCTGAGAAGAAGATCTGGGAAGTGCTGAATATGGTTGGTGTGTATCCTGACCAGCATGATTTCATCTGCGGAAATCCCAGAAAGTTCATCACTGAAGATTTGGTTTTAGAGAAGTACCTGGAATGCAAGCTAGTATCCAGAAGTTATCCTCCAACCTATGAGTTCCTGTGGGGCCCAAGAGCCCATGCTGAAAGCAGCAAGATGAAAGTCTTGCAGTTTTTCTCCAAGGTTGCTGGGAGTAACCCCACTTCCTTCACAGCTTTGTATAAGGAAGCTCTAAAAGATGAAGAGGAGAGAGCCCGGGCTATACTTGCCTCCACCTCTATTGCCAGCCCTTCTGCCCCGGACAATTCAGGTTCTGGGGAAAAGCCCAGCAGTTTCTCCCACCCTAAGTAAATTCAGGCTCGTTTTTCGAACTGTTTAAGGGTAGCAGTTGAATCTTCAAGCAGAAGAGACCTTGGGTTCTTTTTCCTTTTTATACTGTTTTAGATATTCTTTTTTTAGGATTTCTTAGATTCAGAGTCTAGAGTCGTCAGCTGTATTGCTCACACATTTGTTGCTATTTGTTTCATAATAAAAATTTTGCTATTGTGAAAAACAAGTTGACATTTGCAGCTTTGAGATCTAGAAGAAGATCAAGTAACATTGCATCGGAATTTTCCTTAGACAGGTGAAAGATTCCATTAGTAAAATGCAATTGATAAGTGCAAGAAAGATGTAAAAAAAGTGGTTAACAGTAGTATTTCTGTGTCCTTTTAGTTAGCTTTGTGAAACTAAAGATATGCACCTTGCTTGCTTGATTTACTTAAGAATGCATGAGAAAAAAAAAGCTTAATAAAGTACACTGCCTCATTTTCCCAGCAGTCTTTGTTCTTTAGAAGGCATTTTGATATCAATGGAAATTCAAACATCAGTGAGGGGGATGATGAAATTATGTGAAAAACAAAGAGTTAAGTTAAAAGACTAAGGAGGTGGGAATCCGAAGGATGCCATCAAGTATAAATGCTCTGAGCCAGGGCATTTGGGGGCTTTGGGAAACCACAGATGCTTCTGTGAGTGCTTAACACTCTGTTAAGTTAGATGGTGGTGGGACCCACGTTCTCAGACAATGTGTCTGATACATGAGAGAAAAACTTGGGATGGAAAAGATGCTCAGAGAACTTCTTTTTGAACATGGCTAAACAAGAAATGAATCTCCTCTGGATGCAGGGGCAGTTAATAAAAGGTGACTTGAACTCTTGTTCAGTGCAATTGAACACAATGTATTACCTAAGTACTGTGTACCTGGGAGGCACATGACTTTAATCCCAGCACTCGTGAGGCAGAGGCAGGTGGATCTCTGTGAGTTGAAGGCCAGCCTGGTCTACAAAGGGAGTTCCAGGACAGCTAGGGCTGTTATACAGAGAAACTCTGTCTTGAAACAAACAAACAAAGCACCTGCAAGCATTTCTGGGAAGATGATACTGCCTAAGAGAACCCACTCCACTGTAAGGTCATTCATATCTTCATTTTTTAACTTTGCATTTATTTCTGTCTTTCACACCATGCATCTCAATCCCATTCATTTCCCATCCCTTCCAATTTGCCCCCCCCACCCCCGCACCAATACAATTTAAGAGAAGGAAAAATGGAAGCTGCAGTGTGACACAGTAAGTCACACAATAAACCTTTTCAGCCATATATCTTTACTTGCAATTGTTCATTGCAGAGTTACTGGTCTGGTTCTAGGCCTCTGGTTTCTGCTGCACTGTCACTGCTGGGCCCTCACTTGGGACTCCTCTTGGCTATCCTGTTGCTGCCCTGTGTCATAGAGTTTCTGCAACTTTGGGTCTGCAGGAGTGGCTCCTTCCAGTGCTCCAGCAGATCATAGATGGGGTGCATATTGGGATGGGCCACCCCACAACACTGGTTCTGGGCATGGGTAGTGGCAGGCTTTGTTAGCCTGACAGCTCTCCCCTGTCTTCACCACGAGGGTGAGCAGCACTCTAGCATTGCCCTTGCTGGTTTACCCATTGCAGAGATGAACAAGGGGCGGGGCCATCTCTCCTTTCACATCCTCAGGGGCAGCTCTCCCACACTG